AACGCCCGGAGGAGAGGCCCCATCAAGGCATTCACACCTTATTTGTCCCGAATTTGTGCCAGGGTTAGCGCCACACAGATGTAGGGGGGCATGCTCGAGTTAGGAGCAAATAATCGAAGCGGATTAAGAATACTAAGCAGATTTGCATCTAGAACGTGGAGGGACCTAGTCAAGAGCATGTGGATGGCAGGCAGAGAACTGGCACAGACAGTTACCGCTGCAGAGGACTTTGGCGCTTTTAGATAATCTCTGGGGGCAGACACTGGTGATTTTTAATGCACAGACTCAGGATGATTTCGTTTGCAGTCCGCTCTTTATACGCGCTTAATCCATGGGTGTTTGAGGGGTAAGGGATGGTTGTAGAGAAATTTGGGTAGCGCTTCCCTTTCCTTGCTGCTGATGGGCGATACGATTCTTTAAACTTGGTTTCAAATTTTTTTTATCAAATCAAGACTAGATTTTCAGGTTCTGGAAGGGATGTATTTTCTTACTTGAGAGATAGAGAGAAAAGGAAAGAGAGAGGGAGTGATTTGCTTTGGTTTGAAAATATAATACTAAAATTTTCAGCAAAAAGAGTCGCCCAATCAAGAGGAATCGAATCAGGCGCACTACCCTACAATATCCACATATCAAAAGTAATCCATAATCGCCAATGACTGCAATTTTCGATAATAGTCGTCAAATATAGGCCAAATTGGACTGCTTTAAAAACGGAGCCAGGGTTTTGACCTTGTGCACTCATGACCTCCTTGTACTTAAAATAAACAAAGAGGGAGAAAAAATCGGTTTAAAATAGGCAAAGTAGGCCAACAGACATAGACAGGAGAAAATTTACATGGAAATAGAGGGCGGAAAAATGGTAGCTAAAATCTAAAATCCCGCACAAGTGCTGCTTATATTAGGCTTTACTCATAGCATATAAATGAAGGGTTTGGCTCTCTCGTACGCAAGAGCATAGTAATTTTCTTCGGCATCAGGCTACCTCCGATTTCGCCAAAATCAATGCTTATGACCCTTAATACACTGAACTTACGGGGCAGTTTTTCTTGCTAGAAGGCTTTCTCAGGATAAAATGACCATATTTATACTAAACTGCCGAGTTAAATTTCGTCATGGCTTTTACGTGAATTCTTAGCCGTATTGTAGAAAAATTAGTGGCTCTTACATTCGCGCGAATTACATAGTTATCATCATACAAATATAAGCGTTTCATTGAACAGTTAACGGCTTATCAGCATCTTTCTAAAGTTTGCAATCCACGTATACAGACTTAGAAGGATCTCTACGAAATTGTAATCTTTTTAATAAATGTCCTTAAAATAAACAGTATTCTCTCTGAGGCTAGGTCATTGACCTCTTTTAGCGCTGCGGTCTTCCGTGCCCATTATTTGGTCTGCAAATGGATTTAGAGATAACGAAAAGGCTCTACATTTCAGCTCATCGGACGCTCACTTTATTACTCAAGGGATTATTGATTTGTAATGTTTGTTCCGTTCCAAACAGGCTACAGTTCATTATCAAAGAGGCCGCCGTGGCTGCCAAAACCTGTTAAAAAAACTACCTTCAGTCTATTTGTGTCGCTAACTAACCGTCCACCTACGTGGGGCAGCCGCTGGACGCACCACACGTCTGCCGATTTCAAACATTAAGAAAGATCGGCGGTTACCGGGAGAGAGAGAGACCAAGAGGACTTGTCCATCAGTAATCATCCCTTAACCCAAAAGCCTTAGATATCATGGCATAGAAAGCTGCCGGTTGCGAGGATACCCCAAGCCTTCTCTAGACACAAGAATTGGACTGAAAGAGCTTCTCCTCAGTGTGGTCTCCATGGTACTTCTGCATGCGTAACTCGCACATTGAGATCTCGTTCCTGTGGTGCCAGCATTCAGATAGTGCATGGGACGCGTAGGTGGGCTGTTTACGAGGAAGAAAGTTAGATGTTTCGTCAATCTGCATCATTACCGGCAACTAAACATGCATTCATCCGTTGCTAGTCATCGGCCTTGTCCGTTTGGATCCTGCAGATGCGAACTGTGGATGGCTTTGCTCTCAAATGTTCTCTGTTCGACCTCATTCTACGTACTGAATCATAGGGCAATTATTAAGCCAGTAACCTTATAAAAAGACCGTACTTAGAGCCAAGGGCGTTTGTGATAAAATATAAAGCCTGGAAAATGCGTCAAAACTCTTAAACTACAACAGTTACCTAAGAAATACCGTGGAAATTTCGCACTAAACAAGCCTTTCCCTTACGGCGGCCTTGCCGGAGAACAGCTTTATCTCCCAATAAGTCTCCTACCCTGAACCTTCTTGTACTGCGTCCGGGGACTTAAAGATAGGACGGGCTACTTGTGACACCCATCTAATTTTAACTTCCATTCATGCATAATATTTTTACATTTTACTTTTAGATGTGAAACGAGTCGAAAGTCGATTGATTGAATATCAGGTCAGCTAACCGGCAAACGTTTTCTGTGCAAGGTCTATTCGCTTAATTTTTACATGAATACAATAAACCAAATTCGATCATGTCTCCTAGTAAGCCCATGGAATCCAATCTCGATAAAATATGATATTAATAGCATTTATTTCACTCCTAGTTCAGAAGGCTGTCAACAGTTACGGGCCCGGCAGACGTCCATAAAGTTATAAGTAGGCATGAGTGTTTTACATAACCCATGCGCTTGCGCTTGATGCTATCCAGGAAACTGTGGATCCGAATGACTTCGTTAGTTAACCAGCTGTCTTCTCACTTCCTAGCAATCCGACATTTGCACACGTACTTCCTGATTATTCGAGACCAGGAACCCTCTATCAGTGCTAAGTGTCCATTGTCTTCTTGCACACCACTCCGAGTATATGAAAAGTAAATGTGAATCACTTCGAACGAAGGTTATTGCGCTTTATGTGTTTATTCGTTTAAATCTAATTAAGTCATAGGAACAGGACGTGTGAACCCCCTACAATAATTGAGTTAAGGCCTCTGTCACCATTCTACCTGCCAAATGTAAGTGGTTCCCGTTAATTACGATAGACTAACTACCAGTAATGCCTACTAACATTAAAATAGTAACACGTTTATTTTGATTTTGATTCTTCACTTTGTCGCCTGAGCAATTACGGAAACCCATTTATTGTTGAAGTATGCAAAAGGGTTGTTTTTGAATTTACAGTCGAAGGCGAAAGCAATGAGTGTAGGCGTAAATTATGCTGCGCTCGACAGCGAAAGACAACGCCAAGAGGACCTGCTTCGTGAACTCCGTGAACTTGAGAAGGAAATGACTTCCCCCCCCTTCGACAAAACGCAATTACCGCAGTTAGCATCCAATGTTGGTGTAAGTTCTGAGGCGTTCTGGCTCTCTTCATATACTCATTTGTTCCTCTTATAGGTTGACCTTGACCTAAATGCAAAATGCCTAAAATACCTGACG